CCGCAGCTTGAGCAGACAAATCTAACTTTTCACAGCCAGAGCCTACAGCTGGTTCCACCATCATTACTGTCAAGGCAATCAACACAACATTAGGTATTAGTCGTGTGTCCGAGGGGAAAATGGGGAGCAACTCACAAGGTGCTTTTGTCTTCAAACAGCAAGAAAAAGGGAATCGAGAGCACTTCTGACGGCAACGCCAGCTTTCCCCGTCTCGCTCCAGGGAAGAGCAGCACAGGGACAGGCGAAGGCTGCTCTTCCCACAGCGGCCTCACAGGGGCTGTGCTGCAGGGCAGCGCCAGGGAACGACAGAACCACAGCGCGGCTCCGACCGCTCGGCGCGCAATCTCACCGGAAGCCAGACCGTGAACTCTGGAAAAGCACTGCTTAGCCTCTGGATGCGTGGTCAGTGTTCTGGGGGTTCGTGACTCCTTTCTGGTCTGTGATGGTGAAGACTTCTGGGGGCTCTGGGGAGGGAGATCTTCCCCTTGATGAGAGCTGGGGCACAGGAGAGCCTCCCTGGTCCTAGCCTCCCGCCTGCAGGCACGCACTGGGTGAGTCCCGCTCGCGGAGCCGCAGTGCGGACGGAAAAGCTGCTGCACAGAACCACGCCCCCCACCCAGTGCCCGGCAGCAGTGAGCCGGGGCGCCGGCCTCAGGACCGACTCCACACTGCCGCTTACGGGAGAGGGAGACAAAATCCCTGCTTGTTTCCGCAACTTGTTACTGGATGTTTCTATTCCTTACAGTCAAAACCATTTACAATTTTTAAAGTCCTTTAATTTTTCTCATCTTCCCTCTAATATTTTCCAACTGCTTTTATTCTGCTTTCTGGAAGATTTCCTCATCTTTATCTTCCAACAATTCATTTATTTGTTTCTTTCTTTACACGCACACACACATAAACACACAAACATACAGATGTCTCGGTACACGCACCTACACATCTTTCATTCCTGCTGTAGTGTTTTTAACTTCCAAGGGCTTGCTCTTGTTTGCTTTTGTTTTTTGCTTTTTCGGTACTGCCTGAGACAAGAACGGGTGCTTTATTTTATCCTCACTGTTAATTACAGTTATTTTCAAGTTTTCTTCTGTTCTTTGCACTGTTTCTGAATTCCTTTTGACTACTGCTGCTTTTGTCTTTCTTGTTAAAAGTGTTCCTCAAATACCTCGTTATTCTTAGCCGTCCATTCACACATAAGAGGGAGGGACTCTTGAGCTTACAGATGGGTGGGCCTGAGGGGCAATAGGCAGAGACCTGCTTTCCACCAAAGAGCCTTCAGGTACCAGTGCCTCCAGGTGTTCTCTCTCGGGCTGGTGGGTCATCTCTGCCACCTCTAGCCAGACTCCTCCTCAGAGTGTATCAAATGGTGACAAGTGTGATGTTTCAACTCATTTGTAATGTCTGTTATTCCCATCTCCCTCCTCCCCCCACCAGAACACAGTCTCTGCTTGAAGCCACAGATTTTTGTCTGTTTTGTTTATTTTTCCATCTCTAGGGCAAGGAGCTCTGGTAGCATAGTGGCTAAGACACTTGCCTGCTAACCAGACGGCTGGCGGTTCAAATCCACCAGCCACTCCTCGGAAGGAAGGTTGGGCAATCCTACTTCCGTAGTGATACTGCCTCGGAAACCCAAGAAGGGGTCGCTATGAGTCGGGGCCGACTCGACGGCACATAACAACAACAACAACAACAGGGCACAGAACAGTGCAACTGTCAGCAAGCACTCTGTAAGCATGTGCTGAATAAAAGAATTAATGATGACTTACGGAACACTCACTATACACTATGGTATCGCGTAAATATAAACTCAATCCTTAAATGAAAACAAAAATCCTCACAACTAGACCAATAAGCAACATCATGATAAATGGAGAAAACAGTGAAGTTAAGGACTCCATTACACTTGGATCTGCAATCAATGCCCATGGAAGCAGCAGCCAAGAAATCAACCCTATCACATTGGACATATCTGCTGCAAAAGACTCTTTGAAACGTTAAATAGCAAAGATGTCACTTTGAGGACCGAGGTGTACCTAACCAAGCCATGATATTTTTAATTGCCTCATATACCCATGAAAACTGGACAATGAATAAGGAAGACCAAAGAAGTGATGAATTTGAATGATGGTGTTGGCAAAAAATACTGAATATACCGTGGTCTGCCAGAGGAACGAACAAATCTGTCTTGGAAGAAGTACAGGCAGAATGCCCCTTAGAAGCGAGGATGGTGCGACGTTACCTCACGTATTTCTGCACATGTTATCAGGAGGGACAGTCCTGGAGAAGAACA